GCTGATTGGCATGTCACCATATTCTAATTTGTTGAGATAGTGAATTGGTGGGTTTTTGTTAAATGTGAGCCAAAATCATCACAATTAAAAGAACCAAAGACTTAAACTACTTCAGTCTGTGTGCACTGAATTTATTTAATAAATGTGACTTCAGAAAAATATGGTGAGGGCATTTATAATTGAGGCTGTTTAATGTGGTAATTTGGTGTGATTAATGCTGATGAACATGATGCATGACGACTGACTGACTGACTGTGTGATCCAAGATATGAGGGCAAAAAATGGCCCCTCTTATTTTTATATCATATAAAATAGCTTAATGCTGTAATTTTCCTGAATATTTGCACAATATCGATTTAATACAATAGTTCAATAAACAAGAAGTTAATATTGTTATATTTTAGACACAGCATTGTCAGTATTGTCTGTTTTTGCTCAGTTTCACAAAAGAGTCTCTGAGCAACACAGTGGTGATTGAAACAAGTGAGCCAATGATTCACTGACTCATTCATAAAGACAGTCACTTGCTTCATTCTTGAGTGAATCAGCTGTTTGAAGATATTGGTTGAATGAATGATTGAATGAAGTTGCTGTGCACACACAGCAGTGAACTCACACACAATCTCGACAAAATAAGCAGTATTCTCTGCTCTCAAACACTGGGGGCGTGTCCACCGGCGGCGCTGAAACCACGCCCACTCACGGGAAAGCTGCCGTCTCTCTCAACTGTCTTCCTCTAGCAGCTTATTTAAATAAGGAGACCGAGCTGTTTTGTAAATTATTTGGAACCAGGTATTATGCATTTATGTGACGAAGGCATAGCTAGCTAGCAACCAGTAGGCTGTAGTAACGAACGGTAATGACAGTAACTTGCGACTGAGTGGGCAAACCACTGCGCTGTAGTTATTAGCTGTGTTCGACTCTGCGCAGAACGATCAGTGCATGACATCAAAGTACCACGAGAGTGATTCGAAAGCATAAGGAGCCGTCTGCTCTCTAATAGCTCTGACTGTACTTTGATGTTTCACACCGATCGATCCGCGCAGTGCTGTTGGGGGAGGGGCCGTGCTCAGTGTCTCTATTGCATCATCGAGTCATGGTGTTAGCCCCGCCCAGAAAATCCTGCACACGAAAATGGTGTAAAAACTGTTTAACGGTCTAACTCCACGATTAAGTACGACATAGTTCACAGTCTTTGCAACATGCTTCAGCAATGCATTTCTAACATTTATAATGTGTTTAGAAACAATTCTCAGAAATGACTTTACACACTTTAATATTAAGCCTAAAAAGTGTTTTAATGTCACTATTGATGAAGATTGTATGATCTTTGAATAATATTTGAACGGCCATCCCAAAGAGGCACAAAATCACTTTCACGGACTTTTACATTAACTGTTTCCTCCTGGTGGAGTGACCTGCCCAACTCAATCCCAGCAGATGAGTCCTTAACCATCTTCAAGAATCGGCTAAAAACACATCTCTTCCATCTTTACTTGACCCTCTAACTCTAGCACTCTCTATTCTAATTCTATTCTTTAAAAAAAAAACTAACACTAGCTTCTCTATTCTTTTTGTATTCTATCTATTTGTTTTCTGTTATTTATTTAAACTTTTTATTTATTATATCATTTTAAAAACTACGTGTACTGCATTAGGCTAACTGAAACTTGTCATAGCACTTGCTTATCATTGCTCTTTTGTTGATTTTGATTGCTTCTGTTGTCATTTTATTTGTAAGTCGCCTTGGATAAAAGCGTCTGCTAAATGACTAAATGTAAATGTAATATCATAATATGCATAATACACAGCTCACGGGTTTGGACATCAAGAGAGAATAACAACACTGGTGTGTGTGTGTGTGTTAGCTATTTAACTGCTTCAAATGCAGCTCATCCAGTGAGATTTTAGATCATGTGTTACCTGGTTTCTGGCTGACGTCTGTGGGAATGTGTGGAGGACTGGGGTTGAAGTGATCGTAGGGCAGCAGCGGCGTCAGAGGATGCATCCCCTGCTGGACCACCGACACTTTGAAACTATGCAAGAAACACACACACACACACACACACACACACACAATAAGATGCTGGTCAGTTGATGCTTGAAAGCGGCGTGCGAGCGTGTCAGATGTTGAATGCATTTGCTGAAAGAATCAATGGGAAGGAGCCATTTGATCGATACGGCTTTGATGATCAAGGCCAGCAGCACAAGAGCTTGTTTGCTTTCATGTCTGTGTTTACAAATGGCCTTCAATAACTCATGTGAAATCCAGTTTGCTAATGCTAACAGCATGTTGTTTGACACGATGCGTCATGGCGGTTGCATGGCTGGAAGTAGCTGCATTTCTTGGCCAAACTTCTGACTGCTGTGCCTTTCATACGAGCGTCTTTTCATCTGTGCACATGTGTGAGAAACTTTCAGACTGCGTTTCATACAGAATTGGATATATTTGCCACGTGTGGCCACATTTATGTGCAAAGTCCATTTTCTCCTTTCTTCATAATGGGCGCTCCCCATTAAACACCTGTAATCAAACCCAGGGATTAAAGCCACAAAAAATAAATCGTCTGGCTGATAACTTTTTTTTTTTCAGTCTATGCCATATACTACTTAATTTAATTACTCAAGACTAACAGCATTTGCTATGGTCAGCTTGCATATTGTTCGATATGTTTTCAATCTGTGAAATAAACTGATACTTTTTGCAATGCTTGAAACATTTGTGGCCTTGGAGCACAAAACCAGTCATTAGGGTCAATTTTTTTTAAATTGAGATTTATACACCATCTAAAAGCTGAATAAATAATCTTTCCATTGATGTATGGTTTGTTAGGATCGGACAATATTTGGCTGAGATGCAACTATTTGAAAATCTGGAATCTGAGGGTGCAAAAAAATCTAAATATTGAGAAAATCATCTTTAAAGTTGTTCAAATGAAGTTCTTAGCAATGCATATTACTAATCAAACATTAAGTTTTTATATATTTACGGTAGGAAATGTACAAAATATCTTCATGGAACATGATCTTTACTTAATATCCTAATGATTTTTGGCATAAAAGAGAAATGTATAATTGTGACCCATACAATGTATTGTTGGCTATTGCTACAAATATCCCCCAGCGACTTAACACTGCTTTTGTGCTGCAGGGTCACATTTTTTAGTCATACAAAAATAAAATAAAATTCAACCATCTACTTAAATTTTTTTTTTAATTAATTAATTAATTAAATTTATTTAAGTCCTTATTAATGCATATTACTATTCAAACATTAAGTTTTTATATATTTACGGTAGGAAATGTACAAAATATCTTCATGGAACATGATCTTTACTTAATATCCTAATGATTTTTGGCATAAAAGAGAAATGTATAATTGTGACCCATACAATGTATTGTTGGCTATTGCTACAAATATCCCCCAGCGACTCAACACTGCTTTTGTGCTCCAGGGTCACATTTTTTAGTCATACAAAAATAAAATAAAATTCAACCATCTACTTATTTATTTTTTTAATTAATTAATTAATTAAATTTATTTATTAATAGAATGCATTTCAAATGTTTGGGGAAAAGGCACGTCATAATCTTGTAGGCTTCACAGACAAAAAATGAGTTTAAAGCATTTTTATGTATTATAAAAACAACGACTTCACATTAGTTACCTTACCAGCATGAAAAATAAAACATATTATTCAAACTGGAGATAAAACAAGCAAAGAACATTCTCCATCACTGAAGCACTCAATGACTTCCCGTTACAATCACTGAAGCAGTGCACACTGAAGAATAAAATCTCTTATTTACAAAGTATCTGCATTTTGTAATTTATGATGACAGACTTTACGTGCAAAAAGCAGCCCACCAGACAAAATTCTCTGATTGGCTCAACACAAATGTGTGTGATTGGTTACAATGCCCCACGCTACACAAAAACAATGCATAAAAATGTATGCAACATAAGCAAGCAGATCGAAATGTAATGCTGCAATCAACACTTTTATTCATTTTTTCACATTTCTCAGTTGTAACCTATTTAGTTTATTTAGAAGGGGCATTTTTTGTCCTGTATCTTGAATTTGGGGGGCATGTTGGATCATTTAAGTGCCATTTTTGCCCCAAGCATCTGTTCATTTCTCATACATGACCATAGCGCCTGAGAACTTTAACACTGGACATCTCGATCCACTAAAGAATTGATTTCATGAACGCACACTTACACTGAGATAAAACACTAGAAACACTATTTCACCCAACATACTTATCTTGCAAGCTCTTGCATCTTGAAAAGACCAGAAGAAATCTCGCTGAGGGGATTCCAGTGTTTAGTTCCTGATGAACAACACAGTATTTTCCCCGCACAAATACAAATGCATTCACTGCAGTGACAGTGCAGCATGAGTCCAGTGTTCATATCGCATCAAACGAACATGGCTATTATATATCAGAGCACAAAATCTATTTGCATGTGGTTCTTTCCTTTTATCCAGCGTTTCTTTGAATGACAATGCAGGCATGACTTGTTCTGAGGGTTCGGTCCTTTAATACTGACCACTGATGGACACGACGACCCGTGGGCTCCTCGGGTCTCAAACGCTGTCCTGTCTAATGTATTCTTTGCTTTAAAAATCTAAGTGCTTTTTTGAAGCGGAAATTAGAGGACCTTTTGGAAGCGAGCGCTTTGAGTGTTACGTCTTTAATCTCCTGTTTGAGCACCGATGTGTTTGACGCGTCTGAATGGGGTGCGATCATTTTACATGCTTTATGTTGCCATTGATGTGGTCAAGAACGCTGAATCAGATGAACCTTTGGTCTCTATGATAATGCCTGGAGGAAGTATATTTAGTAGTAGTTGTGAGCTGACATCTACTCAGAACAACCCAATAGAAAAAGCATAACACCCAACATACCATATGCATGAGGGTCAAAGACGTTAAGATGTCCGCATCAAAAGAAATGTACAGAAGTGATTTTATGTCCATAGAAAGCACATTAAATGTAAGTAAAGTGTCTACTTTTAAAATTGCAAATTAGTGTTTGGAGAATAAAATGTCAAAATCTGGTTGAAATAGTGTTACTTTGTCATTCAGTGTAACACTTATATTTATGTAAAAATTCAAACAACATGCTTATTCTGACATGTACATGTTAAAATGTATAAAAGAATAAGGGAGCATATTACATTTGATTGTGTTTTAAATGATTAAAAAATTCTTACTGACAAATGGGCAAAACCTAGGATAGTGGCACATTTTAAAAATGTAAAATTACAACTGATTAGTATTTGGGGTGAAAGTAATTCGATATGTCATAAATTGATTTTTATTGTAAATATGTCTGAGAAGATTGTTACACTGAATGACATTTTAGTCTCTTCTGTAAATCAGGGGAAAATGTATGATTTTTTTTTTTTGCTCAGAAAAACTAAAACAGAATTGCAATTAAATTAAACAGAAAATTTTGGGAACAACAAAAGCAGTATTACACTTATTGTTTTTATGCTTAAACCCTTTTTCGTCTTTGACCCGTGAACATCCCTAAACAAAAGAATGTTCTAATAGCTTTACTGTGCTAGGGTACAAATTATATTCTGAATTGAAAAATGAGCATTCATTTCATATTTTCTCAGTATTTTCTCAGCTCCAGGAATTAAACATGACGCTCATGTTCTCCAAAGAGCCCTCGATTTACTTGCATTCGATAATGCATCCGACGAACCTAGAGACACCAGAACGCTTATGCATCCTAAAACTGTTTATGTCCAGGTTTAAATGAAAAACCATCTCATCATGCTATTTTGGACCACACAGTACACAGCAAGTAAACTGACGCCACTCAAACAGTGATGCAACAAAATCTATTTTTTACCAAAAATTTTCATTTAGATAAAAAGTGAATATAAAGTTTATTTCAAAATTTTATTTAATAAAAAACAGACTTGCACAAACATTAAAACTGCACATTAGACAACTTTCTAATGATATAGGCTAACTGTTTCTACTCGGACTCATTGTTGTAATATAAACACAAACTGTGGCTGTAAAAAATACGGATATTGCTAACAGGTTAAATAAAAATATAATGAATATGTAATATAGTGCATATTGCAAAATGCTCCTCGCTGGAAGTATTAATTTCTAGTTGGTTAACAAGCTTATTAAATGTCTTTTTTGAGATAAAGGTGATGTTGCATGACATTGTTTAGAAGCTGTTTAACCGATGCCTTTCTGTGGTTCAAACCATGAGACGTGATACTAAGCTCTACAGTTTATTTCAACATAAGCACAAATCTCACTGCGATAATTGGATGGCAGGCGGACTACAAATAATATTTTGTGATGTTTTGTTCACACACCAACAGAAAACACAAAAGACTAAAAGCCTAATGCTTGAGATTTAAGAATCCATACAGCTTCATCGAAATGAAGATCAATTAAAGAGACAGTTCATCCGAAAATGAAACTTGTCATCATTTACTCACCCTCAAGTTGTTTTAAACCTGTATGAGTCTCTTTCTTCTGTCGAACACAAGTTGTTCAGCTGGTCCCCACTGACTTCCATAGTGTGGGAAAAAATACTATGAAAGTCAATGGCTACCGTCAGCTGTTTGGTTGTCAACATTCTTCAAAATATCTTCTTTTGTGTTCAAAAGAAGAAAGAAACTCATACAGGTTTGGAACAATGTGAGGGCGAGTAAGTGATGACAATTTTAATTTTTGGCTGAAATATGCCTTTAAGACCCAGAAATCAATATTGTTCACAGCCAGTGTTGGGGGTAATGCACTACAAGTAACGCGAGTTACGTAATCAGATTACTTTTTTCAAGTAACTAGTAAAGTAACGCATTACTTTTTAGTTTACAAGAGTTACTTTTTCAAATAAGTGACGCAAGTTTCTTTTTTTTTTTCAAATGTATTGATTGACAGCTCTCCTGTCCCCTTGTTGAGATAAATCAGATGTTACTGTAGTTCTAAAATAAATATGAATATGCATTAATTCATCTCCCCCAAAAAAAAAAAAAAAA